TTCAAAGCTGACCATTGTTAGTATTGATGTTCTGTTGCCTTGTACCATTCTCTCTGTAGGATCTGTTTAATCAGTACGTTACTGGATGAAGCAGAATTCCCAATCAACAGGAGTCTAATGCGTTAGCGCCAGGTCTCAGCTGAAGCATTTTAGCTGAAGTGCCTCATCTTAATTCCACAGAATTATTGTCCCCCATTACACACCGGTCGTTACCATTAGGCACCACTGGGCTTCAATCAAGTTCTCCAGGAGAAGTCCTCATTAAACGGAGGGCATCATATTTGTTTTATTCTGTTCCTGAGAGAATCACTCACTGAGACTACAGCAGTGACAGCAATGACAGTACCTGTGTAAAGTCAGCTTTGCAGCTCAGCTGAACTCAGTCAGCATGAATAGGTGATTTTAACTTGCTTTTTCTTTCAGTTTTCCACTGATAATCTTTGGTCAGAAGTATTTTAATTGATAAATAATCAGTATCTGCTTCAGTTAAATTCACAAGGATTTGCTACTCCGTCTGCATACGTTTACCTGGGCAGCCAGCAAGTAACCATGAAAACAGCCATTAGTTCTAGAAAGATTCTCTCTCCCTGCTTTAGCCACTCTAGTAGTGAGCAATTCACAGTAAAATCATGTTACTTGTGGGGAAAAAAACCACTAAATAATGATCGCTCATCCTCTAACTTCTGAGGTTTAGCATTTTTTCAACAGTAGAAAACCTCCGTATTTGATTTGAAAAAATGAAACTTAAGAGATTTTCACGACATATTTGAAGCTCTACTCAATATCAAAGCAAATTTCAGCTGGTGAATGTGATCACAAAGCAGCTGGTGTTGCTCTCCAAACTGAAGAATTATACTAAAACAACACCTCTTTAGGCATCTGGAGCTGTATTAATTCTACAATGTGGTGTTAATGTAACCTTTCCATCCCTTCTTCTCCTCACCCTCCTTGTTTTAAATGAATAGGATATAAGTGAAATTTAACATTTAATTTAGTTTAATACATCACAGCTCTGCTATAAAATATCTAAACCTTATAACCTATCTAGAAGCAAGGCTGAGGCCAGGGTCAGAGACTGGAGCCCAGTGTCCTGGAACGCTGGTGATCAGCTAAGGCAAGCCCAAACTGTGTCACTTCACACCCATCTCTAATCAGAAGCACTAACTTGATACTTTTCCAGGCATGAGTAACCATTCTTCCATGCTGGAAGAGCTCAATAAGATGCATTGTACGGCACAAATTCCATGTCTCTTATTTATACTTGTGTCTCAACAACAAAGCCTGAGCTTTGGGCTTTCATTCAGTCTCCACTGAAGATCAAAAGTGGCTTTTGATGGGACCCTTTTAGTTCCAGATTTCAGTAGCAGTTTAACTGAGAACTCTGAGATAGGATTCTCTCTTCTGTTTTTTAACCATAAAAGAGTATCTTAATGTCTTGTGGAGATCTGGCAAGTTGAAAATGAACATATTTCTGCAGGAAAACACAGGTACAAGTGAAAAGATTCTCAACAGCATTGCTGCACAAGTCTGTTTGCGTAAGGAAAGTTAAATGTGTGCAAATGTTTCAAAAAGGAGGGCCCTAATAACAACAGCTGTATAAATAATTTATGGGGAAAAAAACAACAAGGGTTTTAGATGTAGATCAAGAATAAAACATAGTGAATTAAATCAGAAAATGAATAAAGTACCCTACAGCACTGAGCCTTTTGACCCTGCTTTTACTGTGCTCACACATGCTCCTGCGCTGGGCGGACGAACAACTGACTGTCCTTTCAACCCCAATAAACAATTCTGCACATTAATTACTTTGCCTGGTGTAAATCTTAACAGCTAAAACAAAATGAACACGTTCACAGTGTGCAAGCACATCACCAACGCTCCAAGTAATCCAGGTTTTTCTCCCCACTTCTGACTTTAGGGGGACCATACTCAGCGAGCACCAGGCAAAAAAGCTTTGACCCCAGAGAAGCAAACCCATAAACTGCCCTAAAAAACCCACCAGAAAAAGAAGATCCAGAGGACAGAGAGAGCAGAGCATTGAAGAACACTCTTAACTTCTGTTACATCCTGGGAAGTCGTGCTTCTAGCCTTATAAACAAGGAGGCAAGCAGAAAACAAGCTCTTTGCTGACTGTCTTTCTGGCTCATCACGGCTAATTTCCCTCGCAACACTGAGCTTTTTTACTCCCAATGTGTAAAATTTTAGCAGCTGAAGTTCGTTTTGTATCCTTTTTTATCCTGACCTCTGTAGGCCAGAACAAAGCTCATCAACCAACGTGTCCCGTTTGGAACAAGCCTGAAGGAAGATCCCTGCACTCACAACCTCCAGGGTTTGTCTCAAAGGGTTCATTTCACTTTTGTAATGCTGAGAAAGTCGTGTCGACATTTCTGGGTTTGAGAAAAAGAAAGCTGAACCTAGTGGGTTTGCCTGATCCTGATTAATTTGGAGGTTTGAACTTAAAGCTCATAATGAAGCTCAAAGGGGATGAACTCGCATGGACTGAAAGTGCAGGAGGAGTTTAAGCAAGCCCTGCAAAACACAAGCAGAGTTTCACTTGGCTCTGTTTTTCTGGCTTGGCAAGCTGCAAGGCAGAAATCCCAGCTGGAGTGTCTATCCCAGCTCTTGCTCTACTCCAACACACCACTGATTCTGGTACAGAGATCACAAGCAAAGCCATACTGTCCCACACAGAGCCAGGTGGGCTGGCTGCAGGCATTCTATCAGAGGCCATGGGGGTGCTGCAGGACCCACTTTAGTTCCCCTGGTCAGGGTTTCACTGGCAATGTGAAGGTATTTAGGCTCTATAACGTCACCGTTCAGGGTGGGGAGCTAAAGAGGTAAAAGAACAAATAAGGCTGATAGCAGAGACAGATTTCAGCCAAAAACCTTAGTTCCAAAATCCTCCTGCAGTTCAGCACCTGACTGAAAGGTAAAAGAACAAATAAGGCTGATAGCAGAGACAGATTTCAGCCAAAAACCTTAGTTCCAAAATCCTCCTGCAGTTCAGCACCTGACTGAAACCTCAGGTTTTAGTTCAGTCACCACAGCTAGCACGAGATTGAAACCAGATCTGAACTGCTGCAGTGTTCAGGTGTGTTTGCATCCAGAAGTTCTATTTTGGCTCTTACAATGAGTATTCTTTGTAATAGGGCGGTACCTGGAATCCCCCGGTGCTAATCAGCATACCCTTGTGCCAGGCTCTTTACCAGCTCCTAACAAAACAAACAGGAGGCTCTGTATTTCTGTTTCATCGCATTCCACCATCAGCTCTTGGAGCTGCTCTCCGAGCTAACAAGATCTGTTTACATGCTATAAATCCAGTTTTCCTTTGCACTCGGGTTTTTAGGCTTCTTGGCAGATGATAACTAATTGCTGGGGTTTTCTTTACGGAAATTGCCACTTGAAAAAACAATAAAATCAGGATAAATTCCCTAACAACAAGCACCTCCTTTTTCTCGTGTCTTACCTCTAAAAACACAGAATGGAGAAGCCCCTGTGGTTTCAGGTATTTTTCTTCATATTTATTTCTGCTCAACCAAAATAATCAGTAACTTTCCTATTCTTTGCCTGTATTTCTTTACCATTTTTTGGAGCTTTCAGAAGCTTCCATTTGCAGTTGCTCCTAAAACTTGAACTCTTTATTTGGGTTTTTTATTAATACCTCCTGTGAATTTTCATTGCTAGTAAAAGTAAAACCAACTGAAACCACTTGTCTATGAAAACATGTTTTGGTGGAAAGTTTTAAACAACTCCTGTGGAGTTTTAACTTCATTTATAAATGAAGAAACTGATGCAAGTGCCCAAGCAATGAAACGCAAACTGCCACACCTAAGGATGGCACCTTCCCATTGCAAGTCATGTGGGTCACCAGGGAAACCACACATCCCTCAAGAAGCTAAAATCCTCTTTGTACCAGGGATGCGGCACAAAGAAGGTACAATAATGAGGAGAAGCAGTAAGAGCATTTACAAGGATAGTCCTGATATCACCAGTAGGTTACAGAGGGTCTGGCTGGCCAAGCATCCCTGCACTCCCTCAAACATTCTCCTGAATCAAGACCACAATGCTTTACCAAAGTGAGCATCCCCATATGGAGAGGTGGAAATAAACACTGGGTCAGTGGTGCAGCCCAACCCTGACCTGCAACCCCATGTCCCTTCACCAGACCAAGCTGCCTCCCACTCAACTGCAGGAGAGCCGGTTCCAGCACCACTTTCCTACCACGTTCTCTGCCGTGCCACCTTTCCCACTGCATGGAGACACAACAGGGCATCCCTGATGTAAAACCCTGAGCTCTCCGTTCAGTTACAGTTAAAACATTAATTGTAAGTAGCTGCTTAAAAGGTTGGGAATGAAAGATGGGAGACTGTGCCTGCCTTTCTCCTCACCACTGACACACTTCACCTCCTTCTGTGTTTTTATTAGCTGGTGTTCACAATACATCAGCGACAGCTATGATGAAACCAGTGGCAGATTTTGCTGCAAAGCAGCTGGGTCATCCTCCCATGGGCCTTGTTGCTTTGCTGCGTGAGATCTTAAAGTGACCATTGCTATTTTGGCTCCTTGTTTTAAAAAAGAAGCTAAAAGGGAGGGCATGAGAGTGTTAAAAGGCAAAAAAGATGGAAAGAGAGAGGGAGTGGAGGGAAACGAGGAGCCTGCTTGTGTACCACGTACAGAGCTACTTGGAAAATTCTGAGGCATCTAAGTATCACAAACATGATCCCTGCTGTGGGCAGCTGTATGTGCGAGTGCTTTGCCCGAGGGTGTCAAATCAAATATCCACTGCTGGTTGGTGCAGTGCATCACTTCCCCTTGGGGATTCAGAGTGGAAAAAGAGGAAAAAAGAGGAAAAAAAAGGTTTAAACACAACAAATGGAGAAAAACTTACACAACGTCTGATATGGCTTATCCTATACTGTCATCATATTTATGTATGGAGGGGAGAGGAGAGGGAAGAGAAAAAAAGCAGACAGGTTAATGCTGCGCCTCATAAGACTTACCTGGAACCGTCTCATGTCTCTTGGGTTTCCTGCTGTTTTCAAGCAATTCTGATTGCACTTGAGAAAAAATTTTAGGAAGAACCTGGAAAGATAAAGAACCACGTCACTGCTGTTAACCCTCACAACCACCCCCGCTGGGATCCTGTTTCAAAATACACATGGCAGTGATTTGGGGGGGGGGGATCTGTAGACCAGGGACTTAGCAAAACAGAATCAAACCAAACATGAGCAAACCCTGACAAAGAGAAGTGAAAATAAATCAGGTGAAGTACAACCAATGTGAGTGTAATCCACTCTGAGCTGGGCTGCTAGCCCATGGAATTCAACAGATCCACTCTGATTTCTGCCCGTTGCCTCACTGCAATGTTTGACCACACGGTTTCAGTCTCTTTATCTCTCCCTTGCATACAAGCTCTTTCTTTTGCTGTCTGAAGGGATTTTCCATGAGACAATACAGAAGGATAATGTCATTGTAAAAATTACAAAAAGCAACAGGGCAACCCTGAAGCAGATAAGCCTTGAAACTACTGAGAATGTGTTCAAAACCAGAGAGAAACACAGCTCCCAGAAGCAGCCGATGAGATTTCATCACGACTATGGTTTTTACTTACTAAGATTTCACAAACTAAAGCAGAGAAGCAGCACTGCCAGGACTCCAGATTATAATCTTACATAGATTTGGAGGGAGGATAACGCAAGCACAGCCCGAAGGAATACGTGACAGCTCATGCTGTCCAAGCAGATAAACCCATTAACAGCGTACAAAGTTCTCATGCCAATTATTTTTGCCCTGTCACATATGCCTATCTTTATGTGTTATTATCGGTCGAGGTTAGCTTGTCATGTGCACAGGTTGAATCTTCAGACCGCTGGGTTGGTTTCCCCAACACCTCTCACTAGATCTTGAAGCTTAGAAACATTAGGCAGGCATTTTTCTATACCATTCCCATGAAATCGTGTGTCAGATCCAGGGAGGAGAGGAATCATCCCTTTGTTATCTGATTTATCCCATTATATTTAGGAAATTCAGAAGTAAAGAAATTACATGAAAAATCAGAGTTGTTGGCTTAAAAACAGAACAAGCACGCCTTGAAAATTCAGACCTAGCAGGCAAGGATTTTTTTTGGCATCCTCTATCACAAGTGCAAAGATTTCACTGTGATTTTCAGTTCCATTTGTTGGACAAAACCAGATTTAACGGCAATAATTAAGGAAATAAAATCAAAGACTTTGAGATAGATTTCGAAGGAAAAAAGACTTGGCTGGAAATAAAAATAAAGAGTTGAAGGATTGATTTGGAATACAAAGAGCCATTTATTTATTTATTTCGCTTTGCTGAGTGCTTTCCTTACAAAAAAAAGCCGCTTTTGCAGTAAGTTAAAGTCCCAGGTGAGCCAGGCCTATTTCCCTTTCTGTTACTATGACAACGATTTTTTACCGCAGTCCCTAAGTCCCTTCAGAACTCACACATTCATGCCTTGAATTAGAACTTTAAAGGAGAAAGATGTATATTTCCTGGCTTTACCACCACCACCCACCCAAAGAGTCCTCGCACAAGACAATAAAGCAGGAATCCGCTCGCCCTTGTTACTGCTGCTTGCTCTGCACCACTTCCATCACGGCCTTTCTCTTCCATCTGCCCCAAACATACAAAGAAATATCGAAGGATCTGATCCGTTTATATGGTGCTTGAACAAACAAAACCCTTCAGAAACCTCATGACAATTGAACCCACAAAAAAGAGCCAGATAACGTCATGTAAAATGACTGCCACAAAATGCAGCCTTCCAGTGAGCTTGGTAAATTAAAAGCACAGAATCCCACACTGGCTTGGGTTGGAAGGGACCTTAAAGCTCACCCAGTTCCAACCCCCTCCCATGGGCAGGGACACCTTCCAGTAAGACCAGGTTGCTCAAATGTTCCTTTTGGCCTGAAACCTCTCACCCGTATTTTTTAAATAACTAAAATATTTCTTTTTCCCTGTGCATTTTGGAGACTGGATTTTATTTTCCTCATTCCTTCTCATTTATGACTTAAGAGAGCTCCTGGTCCTTCCTTTTGCACAGATGACATCCTGCCATGGCCCCTCACCACGCTGAGGTTCAGCAGCAGAGACCTGCTCATGATCAACTGTCAGGGGGCAACTTCTCCCAACAGAGCGCTGGTCACCGCTGTGTCTTCTCAACTGAAAACCCTACAGAACTTCATGCCCAAGGAGCAGCACCGAGTGAATACATTCTATCAAATACGACGCACTGGTTCCTCGTGCTAAGATCTGGGACCTCTTTTATTTGGGTGATTTGGAAGCAAGATTTTAACTGCAAGAATGTTTGCAGAAGGAAAAACACGGCGTGCCGGCGCGAAGATTCACAGGAGAATTCGAGTCAGAACCGTTACTCACAAACAATCCTTTTTAGCCTGCCCTCTTCTTACAGATATAAAATCATTATTTGCAGATATGCAAAGAGCTGCTGTTACCGAGAGCTACCTCTGGAAGGAAAAACTGCAGAATGGAACCAAACGAGATAATGAAGCCAACGCAAGTAACTTCTACATGAAAATCAGTGTGCTGCTGGGTAACTGATAATGCCAGAGGGTAAGTGCAAACTAAAATCCACAGCAAGTTGTTACTTTCAAGGCAAAATAAATCGAACATAATCAAATTAACGTGCAGTTTCCTTTTTAAATGTTTTAAATGTTCATATCCCTATTCATCTAGAGGAGAAAACTGATCAACATGAACTAAAGGACAAAGAAAATCAGAGCAACGAATAGTGTCTGTAAGAGAACTCGCTGTGTCAGCTGGGCTGGCCTTAGCCTTAGCTATAGGATATTGCAGCACCGGGTCACACCAACCCCTAATATGCAGATACAGAAAGGTAAAGATTCCAAATGACCCACTGGAGACAGCTTGAAGAGCCTGACCTTTTGGAACTGCTGAGCACCTCAGCTGCTGAAAATGGTGCACCTTTAAGATAGCACAAAATGGGCATCAGTAATTCCTCACCCCACTTCTGGAAGTGCTGGCTTTGCTTTTAGTGCTTGAGCAGTATTCCCATATATTGTCAGTGCCAAGAGGTCTGCAGTTTCTTTAAAGCTCACTGGATATGCTGCACTAAGACAGTTTTCCCTCCCATCATCTGAGATTTAGATTCAGTTCTATTTAGATGCATACACAAGAGATCACACCTCTCTTTCTCTCCTCTTTCAGACTTTTTCTAGTCAAATTTTATCCACAACTGGGCATCTGCATGAAGTCTTTGGTAGGTCGATATATATACATATATATATAAAGTGGTTGCATCTGGGAAAGGCATTAATATTTATTGCAGCATTAGAATAAAAATGACTTGGGGGGAGCAAGGAGTAGGGAAGGTTTAGCACTAAATGAAGCTGGTTTAGGGGTAACAGGAGAATTGCAGAAAAGCTTTATTAATTTTTTTTAAATGAGAACCTTTAAGTTTTGGCTTTAACTTCCACATGCATTGAAAAATAAAAAGCAATTTAAAGAATTAGCCCCTTTTCATGTTCCTTTAGCTGGCCTTTGTTTCCCACTAAGGAACAACAGCTAAGAGTTTAGCAGGTAACTCTGAGTCCAGCCAAGCAGAGCCAGTGTGGCCCAGTCACCTCAAGCTTGCCATCTAAGGGCACTGGGGGAAAAACTAAACACTTTTAAATCACTACCACTAAAAATCCTGGCATTACTGTAGAAAACCTGATTAACTTAATGCATAGACATAAAATTAACGACGAGATAACTATAGATTTCTTTTTTTTCCTACTGTCTCTCTTACAGTTAAGCTTTCTACCTACAGTCTGATACACTTGCAGAGGTCTCCTAAAAGCCACCTTAAATATAACTCCCTCTTTTAGGATTTAGAAGGAGCTATGGTAAAAGTTGCTGCACCTCCTACTGGGAGTCACTGAGGAGCGAGGTTGATGAATCATTTAAGTGCCCCTTTTTCACTTCAGTAGAAAGACAGCTGTGTTACCTCAACTGTTTTGCAGTAATACTATGAGCAATGGGATATGACTTGGTGGGAAAGCAGACGGGGAGTGCTCATACAGCCCATAATACAGCTGAGAGAGGCAGAACAGATTCCCCTGTCAATGGGCTCTCAATGGGCACAGAGAAAGGGGAAGGGCAACATTCTCGCATCTCTCAAGGTCTTTCCAAAGAAACTGCTGACCCACACTCCCACCTCATTGACATATATATTATATACAGATGTATATATTATTAGGTTCTATATAGGTAGGTAGGTAAGATTAGATTAGACTAGGTAGATAGATTAGATAGATAGATAGATAGATAGATAGATAATTAGGATGTATACTTATATATTATATACAGAGATATAGATCATTAGTTTTGATATCTTTTAGGGAGGTAGGTAGACAGGTAGGCAGATTAGATTAGACAGACAGACAGATAGATAGATAAGGTTCTGTACCCACCTGAAGCAACTTTAAAATGCAGCTAGAACTAGAAAGCAAGTTCCACACCTCTGACAACGTTTCTCCTTCATCTCGGATGACTGAGAAGAACCTTGATCAAACCCTACTGAAGTCAGGAAAAAACCCTTCTTTTGACTTCAACAGGACAAGACAGAAGCCCTAAAGAGCAGTCCCACAGGCAGCAGAAGGTGGAGGTTTAAAAGAAAAATGCATTATTGCCTTTTTAAAACCATGCCACAGGACCTGGGACTGATCAGTCTCACCACATGGAAGCACAGAAATAGATAATATGCTTTGCGCTTTTATAGTGCCATTCTGTGGGACTTAAGCTTCAATTAATTCTGGCTTGCAAAACCCCTCTGCAGCAGGTGGTGGAACTCACCATTCCACAGGCAAAGATGCCAGGGCCTGGGAACTGGGAGGAAACCGCTCCCCATCACAACGCAGGTCTGCCGCAGGGCTGGGACTAGGACTCAGCTCTCCTGACTCCGGGTTCTACATCTTAACTAACCTGCTTTATCCACCTTTTGTGCTTCCTTAAACTACAGGTACAGAATCAAGGCTCATAACACTGGTTTCATCTTATGAGCAGCCTCTGGACAGGCTTCCAAAATACCCCTTGTA